TTGTTTAAAATAATGAATTTCAGTTTCAAGTTTTCACACTCAATAACTCTAACACACGATAACAAGTTTCAAACTTTCCTTTAACCCGGTTGGAAAGGAATCATATACTAAACAAAACTAACCAACGCAGCTTACTAAATACCACAAATCATAGAATAACAGCATGACTAAGAAAAGGAAACCAACGGTACCCAAACCGGATTAACCCAGTTTAAAACTGGATAATTTATTCTTTTGAAGACTATTATAAAGTCTTAGAAAGAAATAATAAAACACAAAAAAGTCGAAAGACAAACCCATACCACAAACAATTTGCTTTTTGGAAAAAGTACATAACCAACAAGACATAAGTAAAACCACAACAAACCCAACATAAAACGTTGTCACATAACAGGACCCCTCACAAACACCGCATGAAATCATACTCCCACTCCTGGCCTAACCCACCAGGAAAGGACGTCCTGAGCATGCTCTATAGCCGGCCTAACCCACCGCGCTACATCCACGCTTTGTGACCACACCTTTATTTTTAATAAGAGCTACTCAAGGGTGAGTAACTCTTCAAAATAACCGAACTAAAACAAAAAGCTTTTGTGAAAACAACTAACTAAAATCATGATTAAAAAATATTAAACTAATAAAAGTTTTATAAAATGTAAAATCACATGATGCAATATATAGATCAGAATACAACACCAAGGACGAACATCAAAAGACAAGACGACCTCACTACACTCGAGAGAGAATAACCAACTACAATCGACATGCCGCTCACAATCACAACTCAAAGGATTTAGAGTACGACTTGACTTCGCAGAAAAGGACTTCATTGAACTAGACCAATGACCACCTCGATGTTCAAGTATACGTACAGATCCGAGTAACCAGGCATCCCCTCCACGCACAATCTCCACGCCATTCCCAAGCTAGATCAGACACAAAGGAAGTTCTCCCCGAAGAACAGAAAAACCTGACATAGCCAACCATTCTGAAATCAGAATTGATTTTGTTGCAAAGACTCAGTCGTTGTCACAAGAAGAAGCGAAAGAAAATTATGATGTTCGCCAAATACCAACGTCCATCATCCACCCTTGAATTACAGAAGAACTGTTCTAAAAAACTCTGTAAAACCCGGATGGGTGGAACCTGATCTAAACTATATTTTATGATTGGATAAATTAAATGTTTTACCAATGTAAAGTATTTAATATTAACCAATCATGATCCATCTAACTAACAACCCACTTATTTGTAAGTGCTGAAGTTACTTGTAATTTCAGCACCAGAGAGATTTGAATTTAACTTAGAAATTAGTTGGACTCTCCCGAGCACTTCAGCAGCCGCAATAAACCAGTATACCCTAGATCTATTGAGCCTAGCAGAGACTAGTTAAACAACCTGAGACTAGATAGTATAAGAGTAAGATTAGGATCGGTATTAGACTAAGAAGTTGCACGAATCTATCCGGCCGAAAATAAGATAGCGTGACGAGCAGACGGTGTACCCTATCCGAAATTACTCTATGAGTTACACTTCGGTTCTAACTCAAATGTTTTGGTTCCTGCGGAGCCCTAATATTTAATATAATCACTCAACTTTCAACAGAATCCTACCACTGCTTGATGATGAAAAATTCAATTGATGTTTAACTTAAAAATGGTCTGATTTATCTCATTTTTTGATCAAAAATTTGCACAAAATGGTCGAAGTTCTGCTCTATTGCTCGGTAATAGGTATTTTGCGGTCATACTTCTACTAAGCGAATAAACTTATATGGCCCTGCCGTATCAACGAATTGTTTCAGACTTCATACAAGTTGTTTCGTGCAATCATGCTTCAAGTCATTGTTTATAGAGACTGCACTACACTGGGCGTTTATCGCAGTTTCTTGGTTGGTTGTTTTTTGTTATGTGATGCAATCAATCTCGGCTTATTGAAAACTGAAGTTTCAATTTAGATTTTAATAATAGAAATTTAGGATCAACCGTAGAATCCCCCCCCCCCCCCCCCCCCCCAAATCGAATCACCCCAAGGATAAAGTATTTAACGCGAGAAGAATTCTGCGAATAAAATATAACCAATCAATAAAAAACCAATATATGTCTTTGAACGACTTCCTGCAACTGAAGCCGAAATCGAAATAGAGCAGAGGCGGCGAAACGTGGTATGAACACCGTTACCAATAGCTGCGTTATATCAGTGGCCATCAAGGACCCTAATATTCAACGAAATTTTGTTGAGGTCAACTGTATGACTGATCTAGATAAACAGAAAAAAAAAACAGCTTTAAAGCGCAATTTCGACGATAATGCCGATGCAGCGGGCAGTTCAGCTTCGAGTGAGAAAACATCCCCGGAACACAAACGCCAAAACAGAAGATAATAGTAAAGATGACATCTGCAGAAACTGAACTGAAACTATACAAAAATATCTTTGTTGAATCTGTAACGTACATGAGATTTGTAACGTACATGAGACTTTGTAACCATTAGCACCTAATGAAAAAGAACCCAAACTGCTCAACGAGCGGAAAAAAGACTTCAATTTCACTTTTTTAATGTTTTTTCTTCAGACCAGAAAAAAAACTGTTTTTTGGTTTTAGTTTGCGAAGCGAATTATGTTTTTTCCTTTTCTTTTTCCTGTGACAACGCAGGGGTTCTGAAAGTTGCTTGTACGATGCATCCTTGTAGTTACGCACGGAAAAAGTGCTTCGTAAAAAATACATAGAAAAAAATCTTGAAAGTAAGTTTTACAAGGTAGGAAACTGGAGCGAAAAGTAATATAAAAAAACTGGTATATCAAAATTTATCAAAATAAGAAATCAAAATTGAGGGAAGAATACAGGTTGGGTCGAGGGAAGATAGTTCTACTTACTTTCTATATCAAATCCTGTCTGCCAACAATGTCATTTCAGGAGAAACAAAAATACTAATCATACTATTTTACTTCAAAGTATTCACTCAATAAGAAAAACATCGTTCAGCTGCAGGTTCAAATTGAACCACTGCATAAATTACTTTTAGCAATATGTGTAACGGACACATGATTGAAACCGGAGGATCCAAAATAAATGTTCCAATTAAAACGATACAAAAACATCGAGACTAGTGGTGGGAAAAAAAGGGGCGGAGGTGTAGGTATCTTTGTGCGTGAGGACACTCAATATCAGATAAGGTAAAAAATTAACGATATTAATCTTCGAATGATATTTTTGGAACCGTAAAAAAATAGCCAGCGTGGACATTCCACCGAGTGCAGTCAATCACCAGACCAAATTACAAAATTTCCTTGATAATTCAGTGGATGGCCCAGGATCATATCAAATAGTATTAGGAGACTTCAATATAAACAGTATGAGTAGCTCAAAAAATGGAATTAAATTAGTAGCTTAATGATAGGGAATGAAATTTCCTGCTTGATTACCAAACAACCTACGATGGTAAGAACAAAGTCAAAAACATGCATAAGTTAAAATTTTTTCAAGTCAGACAGGCAGCAGTACGGCAAGGAAAACAGCGATCTCAGGTATTTTTGAGGTTAATTATCATTTAAATGTGGCGGGTGAAAAAATCAAACTGAACAATTTGTCTCTCTAAAAATTGGTCTTTTACTCAACAGAAGAAAGTATAATAGAACAGTTCAAAACCAGCTTGAAAATTGACTTCGACTACTCAAAAGAAAATACGTATAAATAATGCTGCGAGGAGGGCTTTACTCAACATCACGTAATGCTTCTTGACAATTGGAATAAATTTATCCCGGAGAAACCAAAAAGATAAAACTCATGTAAGACTTTTTGTAATAATAACCAAGGTCAAAATGAAGCAAACAAAAAGAATAGGCCTAGAAGATTTGAAAAAAGTGAACTGCAGAAGCTAGAGATGAAAATAATTGCAAAATATTTTGGTTGAAAAAGTTGATAGCAAAAATAAAAAGATTTTCATCAGAGCCAACTGCAGGCACAAGCCGCAAAAAACATAAGGATTTTTTCTTTCAATTGATTAATAAAATTACCGGGACTGCTAGAAAAAAATGTTTTAACACAGAGAATATGGTCACAGACGCAGATTTATTCAAAAATTGTTCCGGAAATATAGACCAAAAATTAGCAGACGCTTTCCACAAACCGCACATCAGACGTCAAAGCAGAAAAGATGTTAAAATGTCAAGGTTTTTGAGACCAGTGACACGCTATGAAATTGAACAGATCTTAAAAAATTTTAAAAAGAGATTCAGCCTGGATTGCCACGACATTAAAGAACTACTAGAGCCTGTCCTAGCTGTTTTTTTTTCAAAAATGTTTTGACAAAAACATTGTTCCGAGCTCATTAAATGTTGCAAAAGCGATACCTATACATAAACAAGCGAATGAACACCAACCCTCCATTTTTAGACCAATATCAATCTTACCAATCTTTGGAGAAAAAAAACTAGAACGATTAATATAAGGCCGATTTTTAGATTTTGTTAATCAACAAAAAAAATACATCAATCTCAGTTCGGTTTCAGGCGAAAAAGAAGTACTGTTGACGCTGTTGCTTCTCTAGTAAAAAAATAAATAAATTAGAACAACCAAACTATTGAAACTCAGTGTACATTTCTTGATTTAAAAAAACTGTTTCAAAAGTTCTGTTGATCACAAGCTTGTTTTAAACAATTGTTATGATAAAGTATATTGTTACGATTTTGGTATAAGAGGACCAGCATATGATATTCTAATCATTTTTATCAGAACCTAAACAGTTTGTAAGGATCAACAAAATCAAATCGCCTAGTCAAATAAGTAAATACGGAGTCCCGCGGGGCTCAATTCTCGGACCTCTACTTTTCATTCTGTTTATGAATGATATACCAAAAATGAATGAAAACACAAATGCTTATTTCTATGCCGATGATAAAGCCATTTAAACTCAGACTGAAAAATGAAAACTGATTGAAAGCAATGAAAATACATTGACAAAAAAAATGGTTGGACTAAAATAAACTGACTTTGAATTTAGATAAAACTAAAACAGTTAGTTTCATAAAACGAAATGAAAAAGAAAAGATGAACAACGACGACATAAGGCAAAAATCTGTTTAAAAATATCTGGGTTTGTATCTCGATAGAAAACTGGAATTCATAGATTACATTGGTATTATTAATGCTAAGCTTAATAATTTCTGTGGAATCAATTATCATCTGCGTAAATTTTTAAATAAACAGCAGCTGACCCAGTTTTACCAAACATGCGTTAAACTTGTTGTTCTGTATGGCGTGTTGTTAAAAGGGTTGACTTCCCAATCAAACCTTGACAAGATTGATTTTAATATCAACAGATTCAATAGAGTCTTAACTTTCAAGAAAAAGATCGAATCATTATATTTATTGCTGGAAAAATTGAAAAAATTTAATTTAAAAGAGCGCGAAATATACAAACGCTGAAAATTTTTCCGCGAATTTATTCGCGGTGAATGTGAATCTCAGCGAAATTATCACATGTGAAGAACTATTCAATTTACATCATAATCATTAACGAATAAAAAAATTAGTGACCAACTCTAAAAAACGATAAATTTTCAATTGTTATTAGAACTAACTCGAAAACTGTACAACTGCCTTTGTAAACTTTTTCCGAATTTATTTGAAATGATTAGCAAAATCCGCGTTAAGATTCTAGAGACCATGTCCTCGTTAAGATTCTAGAGACCACAATAATAGGAAATAAAGAGTTAATAAGTTTAATTTTCTACTTTTTCTATGAGTATCGATTTTCTCTCATCAAAATTTTCAAATTTATTGTTTTTTACTTCTAACTAAATAATTTCTCATTTTTCTAGTCTTGAAAAGTTTTCATTCTATACTATTGTAACAAAAAAACGGTGGTATTACACCACCATGCCGATTAAAACTTGTTCTTTTTTGCGCTCAGAGATGTCTGAAAACAGGCAGATTTTGTCTGATGACGATCTCCCAGATTGGGTTCTTTCACGTGGTCATTTATATAAATCATACTGATCAATGTGAACCTATACTGGAAACAATTTATTATTTTTATTATTATTTAGAGGGGTTGGGTTAAAATATGGATTTTTCATAAACTAAATTTGAGTTTAGCCTAGATTCGTTCAAAATTAACCGTATTACTAAAGAAAATAGAATTGAAACATTAATTTGTGTAATTAATAGCATTAGGGTTATCTAAAAGAGTGAAGCCGCAATTTTTTAATGCGATTTAAGAACTTGATATTCACATGTAGGTGGTTTTTATACAGAAAGTATCTTCGTTGTTATTATCATCGTCGTTTACGTACAAGATAATTTCGGTTGATCCTCTTTGAGCTACGGGCAGAAATGTCAACCCAAGCATGCATTCCTCTCCGGATTCTAAAACCTTCTGATTTTCGCCCAAATACAACAGATCGCTTCTATCTGTATGGAGGTGAAATTTTTTCCTGATAGGGTAATTGTTCGTGAAAGGTATTTTCTTCACGGATCCTTTGCCCCCGTTAACTGGAAGTTTGATCTCAAACGCTTTGGTGATTTGGGGCAACGAACAGTTTGCATTTATCAACCACGAATGGATTTTCTGGTGATAGTCAATATCTACTACATTCACGAAGAAATGCTTGTTTCCAGGTCTAAGCGGCCGAACTAGTATTTCTAACTCGACTAGACTAACAGACGAGAGAATGAAAGGCTCGCACGGGTCCACTTCCATTTCGGCTGGATCCGAAATAAACACCTTCACGAGTCTCGAGGCACCCGAACCCTTGATCACGAGTGAAAACCGAGAAGCTTGACCCGCGACGCATTGAACATCGCATCTTTTCAGCGACTCGATGACGAACATCCATGTTTGAGTAGGCGCCAATCGGAATTCGCCTTCGTAAACTGAGACGTAGAACTTTTTAACCGAAGGTGAAGGACCCGTAAGGGTCTTTATATTAACGTCTTGAGGATCACTTGCAGTCCCAGGTGCTCCAGTAGTGCAAATTGTGTTCACGTCGCTGCACAGAGCAATTAGTTTACCCGAAAAGTGAGTGTTAGTTCGACCGGCCGATAGTGGAGGCAGCCGAATAGACTTTTTAACGACAGTCTTTTCTGGATGACTAAATCGGAACGTTTGATCGACCAGAATGGGCTGATGAACTACGTTCAAATTGAGGATTGAGACTGGCTTCTCCGTTGGATCTTTTATCTGGACCTTTACTGTGCTAGTTTCCAGATTTTGGTTGTCTCCCAAAAGTGTCTCTTTATCGGATGAGCTGATAGGACTCACGAGTGGCATCGAGCTATCGGCATAGAGGCTAGTGTACTTGAATGGAATGTAGACTAACTCGTGGGGTTTCAGGAATATTTTAACGATTCCAGAAGATTCCAAATCAGAAGTCGTATTTTCATCTGTGTTTGAGTCGTCGATGAATATATCCGCAATGGGAGTTGTTGAATTTTTGAGAGCTTTCAGTAACCTGAGCTCTTTTGTGTTCGTTACCGGACGAATTGAACGGTTGTCGCCGCAATGAATGAAGAAAAAGGTATCTTCATTAAATGGGTTCCGGAACTGAAATTCGACCAGCTCGGCGACTCCGAAACTGGCAAACACAGAGTGTTCTGTTGTAATATCCGACAACAACATACTGTGTATTGTGTTTTGCTTAGTAGCTGATCTGTACTCTTCGATCAGCTTTAATTCCTTCTGCTTTTCCTCTCGTTCGAATCTCTGAATTGTCAAACTTTCCATTTTGGACATTTTAGTCGCGTCCAGAGTGCCGCCGGTGCTGTTAGCGAGAAGCGACGAACGCATTTGACGCATTCGAAGGAGCTTTCGATCTCTGTCTTCAGGTAATTTTCCCCCCGTTAATCGAAGACTCTCTTTTTCGCTCAGAAGCATTGTGTTTAGCGTTCGATCGACCTCTGGTAGTCTGTTAGCTTGCTTTTTAGTCCTGTTAAGAGTCGTTGCGCTTAAGTCACGGGCTACAGAACCCGTTTTAGCGTACATCAGTGATTTTTCAAACCCCAAACTACGACTCAATGATCCCTGTGATGACCTGGAGTGACCTATATTGACTAATCTCATGTGTAGATGGCCTGATTTTACCGATTTCTGACTGTTGACTGGTCTAATAAGGCTGCCCGTGGTTCCTAGATCTCCAATCATAGAAGTAGACTCGGATGCGAACTCCTGTGACAATACCTCATACTCAAAGGTCGTCTGAGTGGCTGGTCTTCCTTGTCTCAGTAGATACTTCAGATCAACCGCGCATGATCCTAGATGCATTAAACTATCTCCATTCCAAACATCGATTATCAGTTTCTGAGATGCCAAGTACTTGATGACACATTCCGTTTCACCTGACTGCAAAACCGAAGGATCCAAATAGAATTTGTACAGACATCCGGGAGGTTCATTTGCGAGAGCCTGATCTTGCTGCATTCGTTGCAAAATAAATGGTTTAAACGACTCGCCAGACAAAATTGATGATCTTTCTGTCAATTTAAGTCGCTCAGAAACAGTTTGAGGGAATTTGTAGAACTGGAAAGTGAAGAAAATTGACCCAATTTGATGCGAGTTTAGATCTTGAGTTGATTTGGAGAAAGCGAGAAACTGAATAACAATTTCATTCACTACAAGTGGGTCGTTCTTTTCTGACTTCATATCTAGTTTGACGAGGCTGTCTACTCCGACTACAGATGGCAAATTTCCGAAATCGTCTTTTGGTTGAGGGAATCCCGCCGAAACTATTTCGGCGTAAGACTTCCTCGATAACTGTAGTGGCTTTCGCTGAAGCATTCCCGACAATGCAATAACTTGGGGGTTTGGGGACGCGTATTGTACTTGTCGCATGTCGTCGTGAACAAATTCTGACACCGGTTGAACACCTCTCGGTGACTGCATCTCGTAAGTCGGATGCCTTGGTGTGCTTCGTGTCAGCTCTTCTTCTCTGAATGTTATCTGCTCGTCAAATTTGTTATCGTAAGTCCCAGCAGGTCCAAGTGTCGTGATTATTGGAATCTCGTCTTCTCGGTTCAAATCGGACTCTAAATTTCGAGTCGGTTTCAAGGCGTTTAAGTCAGTTTCGTCCACACCGGTAACTTGTGACTCGTCTGCCAAACGGTCAGTCGGGTCCCGTTCCTTCGAATATCGGACCCTCAGATTCATTTCAACGTCAGATTGTAGCACAAATTTAAATTCGTCAATTTCGACGAATTTTTCAGACTCCAAATCAACTTCGCCATTTTTTTCATGTATTGGGAAGCGCCACTGCTTTACATGAAGCGTTTTCTGGGTTGATTTTTCTTCCTTGACGTCAATTCCGAGCTCTTTGAGTCTGTCTTTTTTTCGGTTTATTAACTCGTCAGATAATTTGATCACTGCTACAAGTTGGAACATCAGAAAGCAATCTTTGTGGTCAATCAAATTCTTGATTTCAACTTCCTTTCCATATTTCAAAGCTTCACTTTTGACTTTTATGATCTTTTTAAGTTCCAAAGTTTGAGGTTCGTTTATCATTTTGAACCCATTATGTCCAAAGATTTTGAGCTTCCACTGAGCTATTGTTCCAAAATTGCTCAGCTTTGTCTCATTTTCTTCTGTATCCATAAAAGAGTCCAGAAAATCTTGGAAAATTCCAGGCTCTTCAAACTCACGGAGCTCCGAAATTAGATCAGAGGCTGCTTTCTCGCATACTTCATCGGAAATATCGCTCAACTTCTTGTTGAAACTCATTTCAAGGTGTTGCAGATAAAGCGAAACTCTTTGCGAAAGTTTTGGAGTGGCCATAAAGTCGCTAACACCTGGCTGTTTTTCGACACCTGGCAAAATTGTCCGTTTTCCAACCAAAGTGTTCGCTTCGAATAAATTGGAAACAGTCGAAATACTCTCGCAGTCTGTGACACTCAAATATACTTCGCTGCTGTCTATTTTGTTAAGGCCAGTTGGGTAATTTTTACCCAAGCTCACCAGGGCTCTCGCTGACCCGTAGTACAGCTGGGATCGAGACCCATTTCCAGGCAAAGGCTCAAGTTTCACCCCTGTCCAACCACAACTGATGCTTTCATTCGAAATACTGTTGACCTTCGCAACTTCGATTATCAGACAAGCGTCGGCCAACTGAACGTTCGTGTAAAAGTATATAGCCTCGTTTACTTTCAGAGAGAAGTTTTCTTTGTTCTCAGTCGGAGAGATAAGTTCCGAGCTCCATATATTTCCGAAAGCGGTTTTGCTGGTGAGACTGAAAAGAGTAGCGTGTATCGCAAACTTCATGTGTTTTGAGACATTTTCCGAGGGGACGACTAGTGATTCGATTTTGTCGATGGTCACCCGTAATTCGGATGAGTCACGCTTGCTGATTTTCACCAAGGGCGAGGGTGTAATTACTCTTTCCAAGTGATGTGTTGCCCCAGTCATATCAAAACGCCACGCACACTTATGTTAATATGAATAAATTTTAAATCAGCATTAGAAAATCGCTATAAAAATCGCTTTAACGTAAACCGAGTTTAAATGCTGCACACATTGCTTTTATCGTGAAAAAGTGCACGTGCAATATACAAAAAAGCGATTTAAAAAACCGTCTCTTTGATATACAAAGTGTTTTAACGTCTTTAATCATATCAGCAGTGAAGCAATTGCAGTTTCTGTGCTGAAGTCAGACACTTTGACGTAACAGGAACTCAGTTATTTTTTATCATTTATTATGTCGCTACTTTTTCAAAAACTTTGGTTAGGGCGGCATGCCATGATTTGAATAGGTTCATATGCCGTCAATTACATGTACAAATGTAATTTGGCTGCCACATTTTCGATAGGTTAAAACAAATCTCAGATAATATATTTAAATAAAACTCTTTATGTATATGTATGATAAAATTAGTGAGTATAATTTAAATACAAACGCGCGAAAATTCAAACCCAATTAATTGTTGACATTTTAGAAATGCATATTTTATACAAAAATGGTTGTCAAAATTAATATATGCATTGGGAGATAGTTAACAAAGTCCAAAAGGGGGGAACAGTTAACAAGGTCCAAAAGGGGGGAACAGTTAACAAGGTCCAAAAACAAGAAAACATCGAATACATCTTATTTACAAATTTAATTGTTGTTCTCATCTAAATTCTTGCTTTTATTATTGAATTTTTGCCTTAAATTTTCAGTTTAATTCTACTGAAGGAAATTTGCATTTGGTTACTTATTGGACATAAACTGGAAGATTCAATGTTATGCATGTAGTTTTCCCGCTTACAATAGTTCCATCTGTCTCGATTGTTTGTCTGACTGATTTCTATTCTCAAAATGTATAGTTTTGATTAAACTAGTTGCCTTAAATGTGGACAGGGCACGCGTACCTAGTAGAAGTTCTAATTCAGATGTGAAATAAGTTTTGGAAGGTAAAATTGTGAGTGGATACTTTAAGAATAGGATAAATCAGATCTAACTTCAGATCTATAACTTTGTTCTCGGTTATTTCAGATCTATTTTAGATCTAAATTTAGATTTGAAATTTTGTGTTCGTGGTTATTTCAGATCTGAAAACATAATCAATCTGACACAATGTTTGCCAATTTTCTGTATTTTACAGTTTTCGCTAGCAGGTACTCAGCAAAATCGCCATTCGGAGACTGCTGAAATAAGTTGCCCAAAGCTTGACATAAACATCAGAAACGCATAAGTAGCGCATGAAAATCAAAAATTCAATTGATTTCTTATAACTTTTGAAAACTTTTTAAAACATTTGAACAAGAAGTCTTGTTCAAAAAAACGGGTCTTATGCGTTAAACGGCCCAAAAATCAAAATTGAAGCAAAATGAAAACTGAAACTGATCCTGATTGGCTAATATTAGCCAACCAAATTCGAGCAACTAGGTCAGCCATTTCGATTGATACTGAGACTAATCCTGATTGGCTCGTATAATATGTAATAACTGAAGTAATTGTATGTTTATTACGTGTTTTCAATTTGAAATAAAATTTCTGACTATTTTCCTAATTTTGAGCCGTTTAACGCATAAAACCCGAAAAAACTGTGAGTGTAATTATTCGGAAACTTTTTTTGTTACCGCTGATTGATCTAAAATTAATTGCAAATGGCAAAAAATGAAAACTCAATTGTTTGCTCGTAATGCATATATTATAATTTAGCAAATGGTTTGTTAGATCTAATTTCGGATCTTAAATTTTGTTTATCAAGGTTATTGCGATTGCGATTAGCAAGCGTTATCAAATCGGAATGTAGATTTTTTCGGGTTAACAACTAGATTATTTAAAATCAGCATGTCAGCTGCATGACATGCTCAGTTTCATAAAAATTCAAATTTAGCTACTAGGTGCGTATTAGTTACTACTAGATAGTTTCAGGGAGACTTGACGCTTTTTAAAGTTATCTACAAAATCAGTTTTTTTTCGGCTCAAATTTTGTCTTCTTAAAGATAGTCGGCTTTCCGCTTCATAAGTTCTGTTCATTTGCTAATGAGTTCTTGTTTCATAAAAACAATTATTATGAAAGTGTATGGGATTGGGTTTTTCATTGTATTTTTTGAGACATTTTGGAAAATTTTATCACTTAAAGTTTCACGCTTCTCACTCACTTTAGTAGAAAAACAACTAATTTTTAAGCTAAGTCCAATTTTTGAAATTACGCTTTTTGTCCCGCATCAATGGAACAAGTTTATACAATATTTAGCACGTACCTCCAGCTTTAGCTGAGCACCCAGTTGTTTTTTATCGAGACGCACAAAAATTTTTTGTTAAGATTTTTCGTTTTTCTTTTCCGCGTATGCTATTTTATGATATGTTTTATCGCAAGTGGTGCGAAGAACTACTTTATATCTGTGTATAAAAGAACTATTTACTCATAGAAACTAATTCTTTGATCCTTTTAAGTGTCCAAAAATGATAGTATTGACCGATTTTTTAGACTGAGCATATTTTTTAATAAAAATTTATGTTGCAGCTCAAATGGCGCTGAAGTGGCAGAAATATGATTGTTTTTAATTCTATCTGACTATTAAATAGTTTTTGCGTGAAAATAAATTACTTTCAGCAGAGTGCACTCTCGTTTTTATGAATGCAATGATGATGGATTTCTCTCTCAATCCTCGCCTTTATAATACAAAAGACTTTACAATTTATTAACAATTCCAGTTAACATTCAGCAGAAACTAAGGCAATGCATTAAACAAAAAACTATATTTACCAAAAAGTTGATAGCAAACGAGACGCTTGTTTTTTTTCCAAGATTGCGTCGAAGTTTTTTTTTAGTGAAGCGTAATTACTTTTCAAAGCTTGCCATTAAACAGATTTTAATTGCAATAGCACCATGAACAAGATAGTTTGAATTATGAAAAATAACATAAGGTTGTTTTGAAGCAAGTTTTCGTAAATTATTGCGCCTCAATTCAGATTAACAGCGTTCGCAACCTCCACTCAGCTAGCTGTAACCCCTAAACTTTGTATCTATGAAATAAAAGTCTTGTCAATTGAGTTGACAGAGTTTTCGGACGAGCAGATCAGTTGAAATTTGACCTCAGTCTTCAGCCTTAAAATCGGACGTTTGGACAGTTCGATATCATGGCAGGTTTCGGTCCAACACAAAGTCAATACAAACTCAAACTTTGCGTTGATCATAGTTGATGAAACCAAAACAAGTCGCGACCGTTCAAAATGTTCCTTGATGCTAGAAGTAAGCCACGATCTGCTTGAAAATATTTTTCATACTTCAAACTTGAAATTTCAAATCTAATTGTGTGAAAAGAATTGTAGTTTTGAGTTATTTGAAGTTTAAGATTAATCAGAGTGTGGAAATAAACAACTCAATTTCGGGGGGTCGCTCAAAGGTTTTAAAGTCAAAGGCTCCCGCTTTGAAGTATCAAATAATTGAAGTATCAGACCCTTTTTGCTAATCATAACTCATAATTTGGCCTTATTTTGCATGTTTTTAAAACATGTTGCATGTTTTTTTTTCGTGATACTTTTATTTGTAAACTGGTCAAAATTCGTTGTAAAAACCTGCAAAACTTACATTCTAATCTTAATTTCAATAAATCATAATAGTTGACCATCAATAACGCCCAATTTTTGATTTTTAACAAAAAAATAGCATGTTTTTTCCTCGCTCAAAAAAGCCATGCTCGACCCAGGTTTCATCGGGTTGACCACTAAACACCCATCTTGTCAAATGTGATATCTTATTGTCGACACTTCAACCTTTAAGTTATCTTCAGTTATGACCATGCCAATTTAAATACCTGCCAAAAGCGCAACGGCTTTTGGTAGATCTAAAGATTGATTCATTGTCAATTTTGATACGCAACTAATTCTGTGCAACTAACTCTTAATACAACCTTTTTACTTAACTTTTAGCTTAGCATAGTTACCTTAGTCTTTTATTTAGTCTTAGATAAAAGCCTACAACTGAACTGTAGGAATCTGAAAGCAACCAGTCTTAAACTAGTCTTAGTTTAAGTTTAACCGATTTTAACCAACAGACGGTTCTATCTTAATTTTTTAACATGGCGCAGTCAAACGAGTTGAACCTACGAGGACTAGAGTTTTTTTGGAACAACACATCGAGCGAAAACCAACACGACTGGGAAAGATGGTCAGAAAAGTTCCAACTAACAATCATCGCGAAAGATTCCATGGACATTGAAGACGTAATCAACCCATCGCCAAGACCCGAACTAGCATACCCTATGGCCGAACCAACGGATCCGTCCGATGATCAAACCCGTCGGGCAGAAAAAGATGAACGTCACCGAATAGCTATCCAAGATAACAACAAAAAAATGCGAACGGACTCCAAATCGGAGATATCGACAAGAAACTAAAATCGCAATTATACCTGGCACTTGGAAGAGAAGGACAGAAATGCTTATCACAGAAAAATCCTGGGAAAAGAATACTGGATATCAACTTTGCTGAATTCTGGGAATTACTTAAAACTACTTTTACGGTCACTACAAATCTAACCTACGAAAGATTTAAATTCTTTGGTCGGAGACAGAAAGAGAACGAATCTTTAGAGAAATTCCATGAAATACTATCTGAGTTAGCAAAAAATTGTAAGCTGGGTGCCTTAACTAAAACTATGGACATCAAATCCGGTACCATCCGCTGTTGTTTCGTGACTCGGACTCTAAAAGATATTTAAAAATTTCTCAGAAAAAAGGTTAGGAAGTTTTCCGCTATTGGGGTAGTTCTAGGCCAGAGAAAAGAATAGATTGGACTAGAAGGCAAAGCGTCTTTAGCAGAAGGCAAAGTTTGAATTTTTTGATTTTTGGACTATTGAGAACAAATAAGGTGAGCGAGCACGCCTTAAATAGCTTATTCATGCTTAATTTAAACCGTAAAAATTTACCTTTAATTGAGTAACTTTAGATTTTGGAATTTGTTTGCGTCAATTTGGGAATCAAAAACTTCAACTTTTTTTTCAAAATTCGAAAAATTTCTGCGAAAGTACTTGAAAAAAATGTGATTATTTTCAATGATAATTTTTTTGTTTTTGGATTCATTTTTCCATAAAATTTGTTTTCCAATT